TTTCCTCACTGTTCTTGACCAAATCTTTTGTGCTTATAGATAATAGAAGGCTAACTTTAAACACAACCACATGAAGCTGGAAAGGAATTTGCCTGCCACCACTTTTTAAAATTTGAATTCCATGCAAGCAGTATTTGTAAAGGATGTAAACTACAAAAGTGTTTTTCCTTCCTTAGTAAAGGTCTACTCTCCTTAGTGTCAAGGTATGAAAGGAAGACATTTCATAGGAACATTCATGGTTAATATTTTTGAGAGTTATAGGAGCAGAAGGACTCTTCAGTAGGGGCACAAGCAAAAGGGCTGATGACTTGGGCTTTACAGGTCATCAAATCCAGTTCAATCTAGTATAGACAAGTTATAGTTTCTGGAGACATTTTAGTCTCTATCTGCAATCAGAGACTTCTGCATTTATTAACTTGGTCTTTACCCTCATGGGTTAATCCATATTTCTAAAAGTGATCATAGCCAATATCCCTTCCTTACAAGGTGTAGCAATGACATAGACCCTAAAGAGAAGAAAAAAAAAAAAGCCAAAATGTGGATGATTTATACATAAACTACAGACTTATGTTCTTAATCATCGTAACACGTTAACACTAAAATTAGCTTACACTTCCTAAACAAACACTGACTGGTGACAAAGGGATCTATTCTGGGTTAAAAAGAATAAAAAAAATTCACTTCATGTCTTCTAAGTTTGAATCTTGATACTTCTACTGAGGTTTTGTTTTTCGTTCATCCTTCCTTCCCTCCCAACCTTCCACATCCTAGAGACAGTGTTCTGGTGACTTCTACAGAAGTGTTTGTGGAGTGTGAAGATATGTGGAGAAACTAGATTTTGTTATAGTGGTGAAGACACTTCAAACCAAGAGTAGTTCTCTGTATCCTGTCACATGCTTGTGTCTGTTTCCAAGAAAGCAGAGTTAAATGGACCTTCAGAGCAGAGACAGATGAGAATGATAGGGCTGCAGAAAGAAGGCTCACCAAGTATGAGAATAGCATAGTAAATTTCCTCCACTACTTCAGAGTGGCCTCTGCTTCGCACCCTTTGGCAACCAAGTCACAGAAGGAAAAATGTTCTGACAATCTTCACTTCTTTTTTGCTTGATATATTTTTCTGCATTTTTAAAAAGCCAGCTAGTATTATCTTTGTGTAATAAGAAACATCAGGTAAGTCTTAGGATGTAGAAGTAATGTTTGGGGCCATGTCTCCCTCACTTTCTGTCTCCTGGGAAATTGTGTTTTGTATATAACAGCATCTCTCATCCTTTATACCACAAAGCAGTGATGCAGATTTACTAACTGAAATTCACTCTTGAGTAGCTGCATTCTCTTGTCCACAAAGGCAGTATGAGCGGCTACTGCCCTGTGATTTCTGGCACTCCCAATGGAAAGGAAACAGAGGTGGCAAGTTATGGCAGAATTTGCCCAGTTAGGCCTTCAACCACAAAAGCATCATGGTTTCCCTTTTTCCTCAATTACCATTCCTTCCCTGGTTCCCATCCCCTTTGTCTCCAGTACGGTTAGCCAACCTTTCTTTCCTTATCCTGGGAAAACACATCTTGTGCCAGCACAAAGGAAGACTGGATAAATAGCAGGTGCTGAGCGGGCTGTGGGAGCTGAGGCTTGCCAGGAGAGCTTGGCTGAATGGGTTCCTGAAATACGGCACCTCTAAATTCTCCCTCAAATACAGAGGAGTGTGATGATCATGCTGCTGACATTTTCACGGTATAGCACTTATACTTCCAGTAGGCCTCACCCCAGATCTACTGAATCAAAATGTGCATTTTAACCAGGTTACAGGTGAATCACATGCACATCAGTTTGATAAGCACTATTCTAATTCACTAGACTGGGGTCCATAAACTACGATTCATGGGACAAATCTGGCCGGCTGCCTATTTTTGTAAGTCAAGTTTTATTGGCACACAGTCACACTTATTTATGAATTGTCTATGGCTATTTTCACACTACAACAAAAAAGCTGAGTAGTTACAACAGAGACCATGCAGCTTCAAAATCTGGAATATTTATTCTCTAGTCTTTACATAAAAAGTTTGCTGGCTACTACGCTAGACTACAAACTCTTTAAACGTGAGAATCTGGTCTTATTTTGCTTTGTAAGATATAAAGGCAATTTAGTATAAAGGTTATGCATGTAGGCTCAGTGGCAGACTGTCAAGATTGATATCTAGGCTCTGCCATTTCCTTGCAAGTGACTGTGGCTAAGCTACAACGGCTCTGAGCCTCATGGTCTCCATGTATAAAATGGGGATACAGAATAGAACCTACCTAATAGGGTTGATGTGTGAGTTAACTAAGCTAAGATATGTAAAGTGCTTTAAGAGGTGCTCTCAGCAAATGTCAACTATCAGCTGGCACCAGGTATTTTTAGAGTACCATGAGGGATCACTGAATGTTGGCAGAATGACCCCTATAGCAGACAATGTCTATCAACATCCATTCTCTGCTTTTTCCTTGATAACATATAATTATTTTTTAGATATCTGACCTTCATGGAGGGTAACCTTATCTCTAGCGGTAAATTCTATTGTAAGCCAACTATAGTAATACCATTTTCAATGTCAGTGGATTGGGATGGGGTGGGCAGCTCTTTACAACAGAAGATGATTCTTGAAGGACTTTGAGGAAGTGATTCCCTCATTCTTTAGGAAAAAACATAGAAAGATGTCCCTGTTCTTTCACGGACGTTATGTTTGGATATGACACATGAAATTATGGCCATTAAAGCAGTCTGAAAGTAGAGCTGACATGGTTAGAATGGCAAAGTGGAAACATGAAGAGAATCTAGACCTCTTAAGAGGTCCCAGAGTTGCTAAATCATCAACTCCTGGGTCTTACCTACTCACCTACCAATATTATAAAATAAAATAAATTTTCCTGTAAGTTTAATTCCCTTCCAAAGCATCTTAACTCATATAGTCAGGAACCATGTTTACACATATTTTTACTTCATTCAGGACCTAACAACTGTTGTTGGGTGCTATGAGCAAAGAAAGAGTGGAAGTTGGAAATGAATGGCCTGGGTGAGGCAAAAAAAGACTCATGAATGTTTAGGGCTATGCAAATCAAAACCACAAGACATCATCTCACACCTGTTAGAATGGATATTATATATATATATATATAAAATAACAAGTGTTGGCAAGGATGTGTGAAAATTGGGACCCTTGTGCATTGTTGGTGGGAATGTAAAACAGTACAGTTACTATGGAAAACAGTATGACAATTCCTAAAAAAAATTAAAAATAGAACGATCATATGATACAGCAATCTTACTTCTGAGTATTTACATAAATTATTTAATTATAAAATAATTAAAATCACACTCTCAGAGAGATATGTGCACTCCCATGCTCACTGAGCATTGTTTACAATAACCAAGATGTGGAAGCAGCCTAAATGTCCATCAATGAATAAGTGAAGAAAGCATGACATATACATATCATGGATTATTTTCAGCCTTAAAAAGAAGGAAATTCTGTCACATGCTACAACATGAATGAACCTGGAAGACATTAGCTAAGTGAAATAAGCCAGTTGTAGAAGGACATGATTTCACTTATATGAGGTATTTAAAGTAGTCAAACTCACAGAAATAGAATGAAGAATAATTATTGCCAGAGGCTGAGGGAGGGGCAATGGGGAGTTGCTGCTCAATGAGTATAGAGTTTTAGTTATACAAGATGAAAAGCCTGTAGCAGTGGGCTGTAAAACACTGTGCTGCTTAGAGTTGACAGTAATGCACTTGATTTAAGAGGGTAGATCTCTATGTGCTTCTTTACAACAATAAAAAAAAAAAATCACCTTGTAAATTAGATCTTTCCAATTGGAAATTAAGACAGCTTGCATTAATTTTAAAATGTATGCATGTTCCTATGTCCATACTTAGGAATATATTATCTTTTTAGGTTTTATTGAGCCTAATCCACAAATGTGAAAATGGAAAATATGAGTTATTTGTGATAAATAAGTACAGCTTTCTTGAATTCAAATAAGCAATGGCATGGATCACATTTAGAATTTGACAGAAAGAACACAGCACCTCCCCACTCCTTTTTTTTTCTTTACAGAGGTGATACTAAGAAGAAGGAAAGTGCTTTAGTTTTATTTCAAATAGTAACATTCTGACTTAACTGCATAAAATTTAGGCATAATTAAATGCAAAAAAAAAGAAAAAGAAAAAGTTCTAGATCAGTGCAGGCCACATTCCTCACTGCTGAGAAGTATCTTTTCCAGGTACCTAAGGCTCTCCCCTAGTACTATACTCTTGTTGGCTGAATCTGCTACCAAACCTGGCAGGTCGTTTTATAAGCCAGATCAGTTTTGATTATTTCCTTGGCAATATTCATCATTTCTCTCCTGGGTAGAAGGAGGATCTGGGAACAGCTTATCTTTTTGGGGCAGGTGGAGTAAGGGCGGAGACTCATATAATGAGAAATACAAGTAAGTTCTCTGGGCTGGAAGTGTCAAAAGCTTCCTTAGAATTTATAGTCATATGGATTTCAAGGTATCAGGCTATCGACTTACTGATTTTGTTTCACACCTGAGAACTGGAAGCAGATTCAAAGCAACATAGGTGGCTAAGCACATGTGAAGAAAAAGTATGAAAGAGAAACGTGGCAGAAAACAGGGCTGCTCACCCACACCTATCCAGAACAGCATCTTGGTCCTTGCCGAAGGATCTGAAGGGTCAGCTATGCTACATCTGGCTGGACCTCTGCAGGTACTTACTGAAGGTCGAGATGCTGAGCTCATTCTGCCTGTGAAAGTCTAAGGTGGGAGATGCTTTGAGAACTTTGGACCCATAAAGTCACTTGTAATGACCAACTTTTAAGGTTAGAAGGAGCCATGAGACATTATCTCATTCATCTTCTTGCCTTTCAGCAAGAATAGCACACCTAAGCCTCCCAAATACATCAGAACACAATTTATGATTAAAAGTCTTCAGAGTGACAAAAAAGTAAAGACTTCACAACTTTCTTCACCAACTACTTTAATTGTGTGCTCATTACCTACTTCAGAGTCTAAGAGAACCTTGATACTTGTTCTTGATGCCCCACTCCATTCTCATCAGCCTAGCTCCAAGATGAGGCCTCTTCCAAGTGGAAGGATCTTGTGATTTGATGAAAGCAGGATGCTAACAGGCAAGTGTGAAGCTAAAGGGCATTCAGGGACACCCCTGCCACCTCTCTGCTAGCTACTCACATGCATGTAATATAAGCACTTCCCTGTGACTTTCCTCTGTCTCCCTTTCTCCCAGAAATTCCTAAAAATTGTGCTGCCTTGCTAACAGATGCTGCAACCTGACAGAGCATCTTTGCTTTTATTGCTGGTGTTCTTAAAGTCTTATTACAACGTTAAGAAACAGGAAGTAAAAAGCTATTCTTGGCACGTTTGCTAATATTATCTGTTCAGAGTAAAAATTCCCTGCTAAAGACTTGTGATGAGAGATTCCTTCATCCCCTGGGCTTTCTATTCTGTGGGCATTCTTGGACATGGGGCAAGTGTTTTACCTTCTCTTTGGAAACACTGAGGCTGACTATGCAACTTGTCACGTAATGTTGCTGAAGATAGAGAGGTCACAAATTCAAAAGCTCAATTGCTCTCGGGCAGGGGGTTGGGAGGAAAGCTAATAAAAAAAATCTGTGGTACAACTCCCTTTCAGGAAAGGGTGGGGTGGATTTACCAGGTTTGGCAGTCTGCTTTGAAATCTTCTGGACAGGAAAAGTGTAGCCACCCAGGGAAGCAGCCTTCATGATACCCTCCATAAGGCTCATGTATTGGAAAATAGCCAATGACCAAGAAGTCCCTTGAGAAGTTGGTTCCCTTTATCTTCTCCTGGAATTATTGGGAGACTAGGCTGGACCTAGGGATTGGGCTTTCAAGAGTGGCCCTGAATATATTTTCAGTTTCCAGGTAGGAACAGAGAGCTCAGAAGATTGTTGTCTCCACCAAGCAAATCTGGTTTTAGTTTTTTTCCTGTTCTATCCAGAGTTTATATGCTGGTGGACATACGTGCACATGACCAGGGCTTTGGCAAACAATGTTAGGGAGGAAGGCAAAAGGAGAAGCAAAAGGGGCTAATTCCTCTACCTCACAGCTTCCTTTTCCACAGAAAAGATGATCTACTCACCAGCAGCAATCCAAACACCACAAAGAAGACATAAACATGGATGTGCATACAATTGGGACATATATCCCTCTGTCATCTACTATAGATAGAGCAGAACTAGAGGGAATAATTGAGCCACTGACACCCTAGGTCTTCTGAGCCGGAAGGACACAGGCTTTCTGACAGTTCTCTGAGTGGCAGAGGAACTGTCCTAGCCTTGCCTTGGAAGGACGCATGAATAACCTACAGCTAAGGGGAGACACCTATCCTCTTAGGGTTGCCTGGGGCATCTGAGGCAGAGGTGGTTGTTGCAGACTCCTCAACAGAGGCACTGAGATCCAAAAATTCCAGGATGATGTCCCCAAGGCAGTAAACCAAGTGCCTGAAATAAATGGATGAAACAACTCAGAGGACTGTCTGGCTCAATCAGGAAACACAAGATCCTGTTTATTACATTTATTTTCTCCTTTTTCCTCACCAATACCCTAAACTTCGATAGCCTGATGAAGCCTCTGTCATGAAATTAGTATTTGTTGAACTAATAAGTTATGACCCCAATAAAGGGAAGAATGCTACTTGAGACTAAGTTTTACAAAATTATATTTCTCTTTACATAGTTACATTAACACATCACTGCTCTGAAGAACTGTGAGGGAAAATCCCTAAAATATCAGGTTACTAGAAATTTTCAGAGATTATGACTACTGTTGTTTCTTATAACTAATTGCTATAAATGTATGGGCTACCTTGCAGGCAATGAGGCAAAACCAGGACCCTTGAGGAGTGGAAGTTAACAGATGCAGTCTACTTTGGGATAGGGTTTAAGAGAGGAGTGCAAGATTACTAAATATTTTCCAGAAGCATTCCAGTCCAAGGAACGGAATGTACTTCTTTTGGATTACTCTAGGAGTCTTTTTCTAGCATTTCTGATCCCTTTATCAGATTCTAAGCTCACTATCTTGTTTATCTTATATTAAGCAAAAACAACTGCTGAGCCTAACACTAATCAATAGGTTTGCTATGAGGCCATGAACCTATGTTGAAAGTCATTACATGGCCAGACATACACAGTCCTGGGTATATTCTCACAGCATTCACAGGGACTGGCAGATATTGGGACTGAATGAGGCTGGAGGCCAACAGGGCATTTTCAGTGCTTGTGTTGGGGCCTGCAGAGTTTTTTCAAATACAAATGGTGGCTGGTCCACGAGTAGCTCCCTGCCACATGACAAATTGCTCAGAGCCTAACAGTTTAAATTTTACTTAGTATGTGCAGACTTGGACATCAAATTCCAGAACAAGAAAACACTACAATCTCATTATTTTGAATGTAGGTTTTTTACTTAGCCACCTGGAAAACCTCTGAGACCAGAGGTATTAGTTTGCTGACGTTGGATAAACATTTTTCAGCCTACCTGTTGATGAGGGGTTGTTGTAGTGACTCTAAGACTAGACCCCAGCTTAGACGGCATTTGTTCACTCCAAGGATTTCTATTACAAAATCTGATGAGGAAAAACAGATGGAATTTTCGTGTTACCATTGAAGCCTTAGAGTCTAAGACGATTCTCTCCCAGATCTCTGCCATGTTTACACAGATTGGGTATTTCTGGCATTTCTGTAAACCATATAACCAAACTAAAATCCTCATAAAGCAGGGACAAGCTAAAAAAAAAATGGTTCTTAAGTTAGGTATCTAAGTAAGAATGGATCTCAAAAAATAATTTTGTAACAATTCTTAGGAAATGAAACAAAGCAAGAGGTATCACACTTCCAGACTTCAAACTGTACTATAAGGCTACAGTAATCAAAACAGCCTGGTATTGGTATAAGGACATGCATATAGACCAATGGAACAGGACAGAGATTCTGGGAGCAGAGTCTCAATTTCTCAACCAACTCATCTTTGACAAAGCAGCCAACAACAACCACTGGGGAGAGGAAAACCTATTCAGTAAATGGTGCTGGGAAAACTGGCTGATCACATGCAGAAGACTGAAACAGGACCCCTACCTATCACCATACACAAAAATTAATGCTAAATGGATCAAAGACCTAGATGTAAAACCTCAAACTATAAAAATCTTAGAAAATGCAGGGGACACCCTTATGGAAATTGGAACTGGCAACCTTCCTGATCAGAACCCTAAGTGCCCATACCATAAGAAATAAGATAGACAAGTGGGACCTCATCAAATTGATGAGCTTCTGCAAAGCAAAAGAAACTGTCAAGAGAGCAGGGAGACAGCCCACAGAATGGGAAAAAATATTTGCCAACTGCATATCTGGCAAAGGCCTAACATCTAGGATCTACACGGAACTCAAACATGCCAAAAGGAAAAAAATAAACAGCCCCATTAAAAAGTAGGCAAAAGACATGAATAGACACTTCTCAAAAGAAGATATATGGGCAGCCAACAGACACATGAAAAAGTGCTCAGCCTCACTCATCATCAGAGAAATGCAAATCAAAACCACACTGAGATACTACCTAACCCTAGGAAGAATGGCCATCATTAATAAAACAAACAACAACAGATGTTGCGAGGATGTGGAGAAAAAGGAACGGTCTACACTGTTGGTGGGAATGCAAACTCGTGCAACCTCTTTGGGAGATGGTGTGGCAATTTCTGAAAGAACTAGAAATTGACCTTCCATATGACCCAGCAATTCCCCTATTGGGAATATAGCCGGAGGAACTCAAGTCATTCTACAAAAAAGATACTGCACACGCATGTTTGTTGCAGCTCTATCCATAATAGCAAAAACATGGAACCAACCATGTGCCCATTGAAGCTGGACTGGATTTAAAAAATGTGGTACATACACAATGGAATATTATGCAGCCATAAAGAAGGACAAACGTATGGACTTCGCAGCAACTTGGATGGATTTAGAGCTGATCATACTCAGTGACCTATCACAGAAACAAAGAACAGAGTACCATACGTTCTCAGTCATAAGTGGACCTTGAACAATTATCATAATACTATAAGAAAAGGATTGGCAGGGGAGTGGGGGTGGGATTGGCAGTTGAGGGAAACCGCTAGGTGAGGGAGGGGCACACCTCATCAACAACAGTACCTGCATAATCAATGTTTGTATACCTAACCCTGAATTGTACCCCACATCTTAAAAAAAAAATTAAATAATAATAATAATTTTGTAACCTGTCACTAAAGTGCAGGCACTACTTATGATGGCAGTTTAGGCTGTCAAACAGAGGGTTAATAAATATAAATAAAACTGATTGTCCAGAGCTGAGTCACTACTGTTCCCCAGTTACAGTCATAGGCAACCAACTGCTTTCCCTGACCTCCAAAAACAACACAAAGCAAGTGAAAATGATCTTCTCAGTTTTTGTTTTTACTTACTGCCAAGGGCCATATTCCTTACTCAATGGTCACAATTCATCAAGCCTGTGCTTCTACAGGACACTTCATTTTCTTCCCTGTTCCCGAAAGGCCATAAGCTAGCAGAGAATTCGAAGTCTTCATTAGAGGGGAATGACTCTGAGATCTGCTCCTACAGGTATGGCTTCCCCAGACCTATCCAAAAGTTATTAACCCAAATATCTGAAGGATTCTCACCTAGTATTTAGGGTGGAGCTATAGCGACCCTTTCAATTTCCTGGCATCACCTGAGTGAGGAATAAAAGAATTGCAGCCTTGATCATTTTCCATTAGCCTAAGAAATGATAGGCCAAAAGGTCTGTGAATCTAGCCACATTCAAGGTCCTTTTAAAAACCAGAACTGGTGAGGGGTAAAGGTGGCAAAGCAGAATGGAAAGGGAACAGTTACTGGTATAAGTGATCTTTTTGGTCTAGTTACCTGGCAAGACTCCCATCAGGCTCTGCAATGCTTGTTTCTCAGCAGCCACTTTCTGTTCCTGGGTCCTCACAGGCCGTGGAAACTTAGGCAAAATTCCACCAGGCCAGATGGACTCCTGAAGAAGCCGGAGGTACTGCACCCAGCGCTGTGGACTTGTTAGGTTAGCTACCTGCACTTCTAGCCACCTGTGGTAGATGAAAGAGGAAAGCTCAGATAAACCTGCAGGAAAGAGTGCAAAAGGCAATGAACTGAATGTTTATATCCCCCTGTCGGTTCATATGTTGAAATCCTAACCCCCAAGGTGCTAGTATTAAGAGGTGGGGCATTTGGTGGCTGATTAGGTCATGAGGATGGAACCCTTATGGATGCAATTGATGCCCTTATAAAAGAAACACCAGAGACCCCTTATCACTTTTGCCACACAGGGAGAAGACAGCTGTTTATGAACCAGGAAATGGGCCCTTACCAGACACCAAATCTACTGGCACCTTGATGTTGGACTTCCCAGCCTTTAGAGAAATAAATTTCTATCATTTATAAGTTGCCCAGTATAGTATTTTGTTATAGCAGGCTCACATGATCCATGGACCGAATCATTTGAGCAATCAGAAGAGGACAAGGCAACGTCAGCATCAGCTCTCACAGTTGAAACAAAGCCAATTCAACAACTTGGGATCACAACATTTGAAGATGGGTAACAATAATAGTGTTACTGAGTGTCACTGTGAGCCATGTATTAAACTAGGGGCTTTACAGAACAGAACATTAAAAGCATCTTGGTCTCTGGGCAAGTTTGTACCTATACCTTCCAGCTGTCTTCCAGCGGGAAGAATGATTAACCTTCTCAGTCACAAGTACATACAGACTTCAGAGTGGTGATTTTTACACAAATCCTTTTTGCTCACTACCCTGTCTATATCTAACTGGTCTTCAAGTCCTCATGAGCTGGCTTGAGGATTTTCTACATCGGGCCCTTTGCTCATAATATTCCTCTCACTGACAAGGCCTTCTCTCCTTGCCTAAAGACTGCCCCTCTGGCAAGACCTGTTTAAATTCCACCTCCTCCACGAAATCCTTCTTGACTATCCCAGCTAGATACTCTCCTTCTCCTTAGACTTCCTTTGTCAGGAAGTTCTGTAGCACATGATTGGGGACAATATTTTACTTTGGAAGAATTAGCTCATGTGTTCATAGTTTTACTTCCTCAACTCAATTATAAGCTGTAAGAGTTTTGTGTCTTGTTCTTTTAAAAAAATGTCTCATAGTGCTACAGGGCTCAAGAAATGGCTGATTGACTGACAACTAATCTTACTACAAAGAAAATTTCCCCCTTTGTCTTACATTAAAAAATGAATCAAATACTCTGGGGAGAAGATATACCAAATCTAAAGTCCAGCTGTAAACCTAGAAGGTGTTTAAACATTATCCTTTATTTGTCTCTGCAGTTTTTCAAAGTGATACTGTCAGTAGTGGAGGTTCAAGACCTGTTGAGGCTTCCTTAGTAGTACCTCACTTAAAACTGACATGGCTGTATTTGGTCATGGGTGGACAACTAACCACTTCTATTCATGCACAGAAGACTGTATTTGGTCCTGCACCACATGGCAGCTCATGCCATCGCTCCTATACCGAGTCACTTGTCACCCATCCAAGAGCAAAAGGGGCTGCCAAGGCAAACTTTATTTAACCTCCACTCTGCCAGACAGTCTGCATTCCACTCACGCTGGGCATTCCAGCCATGGGGGCTGCAATCCCCCAAGCCCAGGGCTCACAAATGAGTCTAAGAATAGGAAGTTTGTAAGGTAATAGCAGGGCAAGAATGGCAAACATGGATGGAGATCAAGAGCGGCACAAAGCTGCTCTTGCCCAAAATAGCTCTCACGATCGTAGTTGTTATTATTAGGGCTGCATCTCCCTTTTATAGGGCTTTTCATTCAGCGAGCCTAAGACGCCTGATGAAAGGGATCCAGCAGCAAGAATTTCTGGTCCTGTTTATGTAAGAGGGTCACCAGAGAGAGGTGGCTGCAATAACCTGATCAGCTTTTCTGCGGGGGATCAGATGACCCAAGCTCTCCTTTACCTAAAGCCATAAATACTTCTGTGACTTTTGCTGAGGTGAATGATGTGTACTAGGGTCTCATCTAAGTGATTCGAGGGACAGGGCAAAGTCCTACAAACTGAAATCTTTAAGTCCTCCAAATAATCAAGATAATTCTACAAGATACAATCTGCTAGAATTAGTTCCAGCTCAGATGCTCATTCTCATATGTATATAATAAGCCAGTTTTCCCTTATTTCTGTCCTCTGGATCCAACACTGCCTGACTCAAACTCTTCAAAGCTATCTTAGCATCCATACAATCCTTTCTAGTCTAAGCATATTTACACACCAGCAAATCTGGGTACCTTGGCCATCTTTCTGGGTATGACTTATAAAGCAGGAGTTTGATTGTTTTGAATTAACATTAATTCATCTGGTGGAGACAGAACTTCATACAGCACTACAGCAAGGACATCCTTCTTGCTCTCTCCATGGTGATTCATGCACATGTTTTGGGTGCAAAATGAATTTTCACATGCAGCAAAATAGAATTTATAAACTTACACAAATATATAAGCAACTTATCAAACCCTAAATGGGAATGTTGAGAAGAAAAATCAGTCTGAAAAAGTCAATAAGTACCTGATGAGAAGGAGTGTGTGAGTCAAAATTGTGGGAGCTAATGAGCAGAACTGATAAAAAGGACTGAAACCTCCAAGTAGAGTATCAACTGCTGGTGAAACAAAGACACTGTCAGGCACTGTAAACCCGAGACACAAAACTGGTCAACAGAACGCTCTGGAAGAAGTCAGTCCTAGGAACATAAAAAACAGGACTTGCATGACCTAGCTATAAATAAACTCCATCCAGATCTAAAAAAGGGACAGAGTTTAGAAAGTGGTTTCTTTTCTCTAGGTGCTGCAGAGTGGCAGTTCCTTATTCTTCTTCATACCTGAAGGTGAAAGACATAAGTCACATGACTTTACCACATACGGTTTAAACATTCCGCTCTTTTCAGGATGCTCCCCTTGCCCAGCTTCTTCCTGCCCCTCCCCCTCTCAGCAAACAAGTTTTTCCCTAGACTTCTGGACTCAGCATTATCTCCTCTTAGCCCTAGACAGCCTGTGTACAACGAATTTTTCTTGTTCATAGAACTTCTTAGGTATGGCTTCTCATCATGAATGATGAACATTCCAATCTGGAAGGAAAAACTGGCAAAATCCAAACCAAGAAAATCACTACCACCACTGTCACCGCCCCCCACACAACACAATCTCTAAAATTTGTAAGATGTAATTCAATTTCTGAGACATATTTAACTATCACAACATCTTCCTTAAGCTGTAAATGCCCATTTTCAGGGGTTTGGTATAATGCCCATTTTCAGGGGTTTGGTATAATTCGCCTCACCTGACACCAGCACAGAAACAAATGTCAAGCTCTTGATAACAATGAAGAGGGTGGGGATTTCTTCATCTGATGATCCCTTCTCTTCCTCCACCCCCACCTTTTCTTCCATTTATCCTATCACCCTCCTCTAAAGTGAGGCTCCATATACACCACCATTTCTTTATCTAACCTTATTAACTCCCTTAGTCCTGCTTGTTTTATTCAGAAACTGAGCTAGAGCAAGGAAGACAAAACACTCAGGTATAGATATGCTAAAAAAGAAATGGACCCTTCAGCCCCTCCATATTAACTCCTTTCATGTCTCTATTCCACATGGCATCTTTCTATTCTTAACATAGGAATGGGAAGGTTAAAAAGAGATCTGTATCCCTAGCTCTCTTTAAGCAAGAGGAATGGAACTTATGTGTCTGAAGTTCAATGCATCATAGCTTTCCAGCATCAGTTTCTAGCATCTGCTGGTACCATTTACTAAGGCTAACAGAAATCCAAAGTTTCCAGGCAAATACAAACACACATATTTCAACACTATACTTTCAGGGATCATTTCTATAGTTCGTTACAAACACACATGTTCCCCCAACTATTCATTATAAATTACTTATAATAAATCATTTACTAAATACAAATGCTATTGTTTATGTAATACAAGATGCATGAGGTAATATGCTAAAATAAATATGGAAGAGAAAAGCCTCAAATAGCACTGGTTTTATTTTCCATCACTATTCTAGTTGTTATTTGATTTAGAGATACCTTTCAACCACCTTGCCTTTATCCAAAAGAAAAAAATATTTTTAAAAAACAAACAGATCTGTTCTGTCAAGCCATCTCTGAATGATTTAGAATCTTACTCAGGGGCCTAGAAATAGCCAATAAAATGGCAAAAACAAAACAAATCCTCAAAACCCAATAATAATGTTGTGACCCTAAGAAATTCAAGAGCTTCTCTTATGCCAGGGAGGGAAGGGGGAGAACATGGAAATTAGGAATTGTCACTACTAGGACTGCACATCTACTCCAAGTTCAAGGGAATCAGGTCTGAAATAGCTACAGATAGAGAAATGCAGTAATGGCTAAAAAGGAGACAATTTAATACTGGGGCTTAAGATGGCACTTCAAGGTTAGCAGAAGGTCATTTCCCATCAAAACAGCAGAATCAAATCTCACGAGTAAGGGGAGAAGGCTTTAGAGACCATGTCTAATCCAATTAGCCAAATCCCCTTCACTTCTTTTCTGAGAGAGTTGCTGAGTGAGAATGGGTCCTGGATCAGCACGGTTTAATGAGGAGAGGAAGGAGGATACCAAAATTATAAAATAGAAAATATTTTCACAAGAGCCGTAACAATATTCTAAACAAAAATGCCTGATTCAGTCTAAATGAAAGAAAATAAGAGGTATATTCCTAAGTATCTACTAGCTGTACCTCTGTATACAATCCAAGGTGCTTAGGCTCCAACCTCATCTTAAGGTACCAAATTTAAAGGAAAAGAGAAAGAAAAGAAATATCAAGTTAAGCTTCTATCCTCTAATAAATCGGAAGTATTGATTCATTACCTTTAGATCATGGTTTTTAACCTTGCTACTACTGATGTTTTGGACTGCTAAATCTTTGTCACAGGGAACTGTCCTGTGCATTATAAAAATTTCAGCAGCACCCCTGCCCGTTCCCCTCAAACTAGATGCTAGTTGTGCCAATCAAAAATGCCTGCATTCATTGCCACATGTCTCCTGAGGA